ATATATATATATATATATACATACATACAATAACGTTATTTTATAAAATAATTTCATTCATAGAAATATATATATAAATTATTTCATAAAAAAATAGTATATAATTTTATCATATAATTTTAATATCCATGATTTATTTATCTTTTCATTGCAGGATGTTTTAACCAAAAGAATTAAGTTTCCTAACCAAATTTTAATTCGAGAAGTAAAAGATATGATAGAAATGACCTGTATGCAACAATTGATAGATCGACAAACACAGTTTGGCTATACGCGCAAATTAGATCTATCAGAATGCATCTTTGTGTTCAAGAGTTCACAATCGGATTACGAGGAACCATCGGATGAGGAGGTAAGTTAAGTTTTCTCTACTTACTTTCAGTAGCGATTTTTAAGGAATTTTTAAAATATCTATTGTCATAAATATTTTTGTAATTATTTTGTAGAGCTATAGTCCATAGCTAATAAGTCCATAATATCGAAAAATATTAGAGATTCAGAAATTTATTTTACATTATTAACTTTAAAAGTAAACAAAAAAAAATCGCATTATTTATTTCAATAATTTCAAAGATCAAATGATATTTTTATTAGTTTTAATATCTTCTATTTAATTTAATAAATACAAAATATTGATTACATATTATATTTATATTTCAATGATTGATTTTTTATTATTTTATCGTTTTGTTTAATTAAGTAATGAATATAAAAATATTATATTTAATAATTCAGTAAACGATAACAATGAATCTTATCATTACCGTTGATTAGTGCGTATCGAGTTTTTTTACGATAAAAACATGTTTATGCAATAATTGCATCCCTTTTATGAGACATTCTCACGATGTTAGTCTACGATCCGCTTACTTTCACCGTATAACGAAATCCACATTCCCTTCTCGTAGGAACCGTTCACGCGAATGCTGTGATTAAAAATTACAACATTGAAAGGCAAGCGAAAGGGAGAGGCCACATGATGGCATACGTAGATCTTTTAGTTGCGTAGCATATTAATGGCGAATCCAGCATTCCTCTTAGGTCATCGTAGAATTTTTTTCTTTTTTATTTTTGTTCACGTTAAGTAATTTTATGACATGTCAGTTACGATAGTTAATAACTCAACAACAGTTTACAGCAAAATACGTATACGTGTAGTTAGCATTTCGAAAACTTTCAATTATATGAATATGTAGTGAAAAAAATTTATGATTCCATTTAAAAATTTAAATCTTGCGACTTAATCGCAAGATTTTCAAATATCATTCCAAGATAATTATCATCAATCGATATCATACAACTTCTTTTATCTCGAATATTTTTTTTTTACTATAAAGTAATTTCGA